ATTCTTTTCCTCAATGTGAGTCTATGGCCTTAGAGGAATCTGTATAGAGAAGTAGTGGGAACAGGACAAAGCCTAAGTTGCAGGAATGGGAAGCTATCTACTGGATGAATGACAATAATTACAGTATCCCTGGTATCACTGCAGATAGGGCTTGCAAAAGTCTTTCTAAGACCAAATTCTTATAATAGACAGGGAGCCAAGTATAAACAAATAGAAGGGTAAAGAAAGAAAAAGGAAAGAAAAACAAACAAATTTAAAATCCACTTAAAGCAAAGATTCTAAAATATATGAAGAAATCTAATGCTAAAAAAGCTACTAATTTCATCGTTCAGATTATGAACTTATTTCTAATGGAAGAGCTGAAGAAAAGCTAAAAGATGAGTTGATTAGATTAGATTAGTTGCACAAAGAGAGATGACATTTGCAAGACCAAGAGTTAGTATCCAGAAGGTATAAAGAATTCCAGTAAGAAAAAGATAAATAGCCAAGTTCCAAAATCAGTAAATAGTACAAAAAGGTTATTCACAGCAGAAGAAAGAAATAGCCATTCAAACGTTCCCCCTCAATTAGGAAATGCAAATTAAATTTATAATACAGCACAACTGTATTCCAATTAGACTGGCAAAAGTTAACAAGTCTGACAAAACAAGGTATGATAAAGATATGGACAAACAGGGATTCTCATATGTTAGTAATGAGAATGCAAATTGGAGTAGATATTTTAGAGAGCACAACACTTTCAGAAATTTACCAGGATATATATACAAGAAAATTCATTATAGTACTGTTTGTAATAGCGAAAAATGAAAACTATGCTAAATATACTGCTTTGATTAAAAGATGAACAGTGATTTATTCAGAACCATATTTATAAAGATAGAGAACATATAAAACAACTCCAGGTAGTTTTGGAGATTTTATGCATATGTAAAAAACATGTATACACATTCATTCATATACATATTCATACATATATATACATATACATGCATGTAGACATATATATGAAATACAAAATTCATTGAGATGATAAATGCCCTATTCAGGATCATAGACTGTGAAGAAGGAGAGAATATAATTGGGGACACAAAGGGAGCATTAACCATAACTGTTAAATTTTATTTCTTAAAAATGAAAAAGCAAAATTCCAAAATTGTTTGCTCAAAATCTCCTATCATTGTCATTAAGATTAAATAGTTATATGGTTTTTTTTTCTTGAAATGGAGTCTATCCTAAGAGAACTAGATATTCATATAAAGTTCAAATTGGCATTTGGGGCTGATTTGTTTCTCGGATTTACTTCAAGTGCTATTCTCCAGGTCAAAGAACTTTTTCATTATCTTTCACCCTTTCAGAGATTATGCCCCTTTTCATACATTTGGATACAATCCAAGTGTCAAAATCATTCATATGATAGATAAAAGAAGTTCTTGGTGTTAATAATTACAGAAAGATGAAGATGAGAATTATGATTACCTGATGAAATACACACACACAATTTTATTTACTGTTTCATAGGTGTTTGGTGATATTTTCACATTTTAGAGGCATACTGTACCTGATTGTATCACAGTAATGTCCTTACAGTGACTAAGTCAAGACCTTTCTGTAATGTCAGATTTTTTTATTTCTGTCTATTTGCCATATTTCCTTAAGAATATGTACTCTTTTGAGCTGGGCAAAGTGGCACATGCCTGTGATCCCAGCTACTAAGAAGATAAAATAGGAGGATCACAAGTTTAAGGCCAGCCTGGGCAACTTAATGAGATCCTATCTCAAAATAAATTTTTTAGAAAAGAGTTAGAGATATAGCTTAGTATGTGAGGCCCTGGATTCAATTCCTAGTACCAACCACACATACTAACAATAACAAAAAATAGATGCACACACATACACACACATGCATGTACACACGAGTACATACATACACATTCTCTCTCTTTTGATCTATTATCTTCTTCACTCTTATACTATTTCTTACCAAATCAAAAATTATAAAAGCAGATCCAAAAGCAAGCAGTTCTCACCTGAGAATCAGTTTCTGTGTGGCCCTAAAAGGTGGTACCAGATGATTAACTTCCAAATCCTCCCCAAAGTAAGATTATTCCTAAAAACTGAAGAAGTATTCATTTCAAACAATACTGAGGAAATATTGAGACATCTTGCTTGTTTATGTATTGAGAGGGCTTTATGAGAAGCAAAATAGCCTATAACATGGGTCCCCAGAGTCAAACAATCTTCTAAGGTCTACAAATTAACTTGCTACCTCAAGCTATTGTCTTCTTTTCCTGCTGACACTAGGAATATCCTTCTGGCTTTGGAAAGTTTTGTTGTTTTGTTTTGTTTGGCTTTTGCTTTTGATTCTTTTTGGTGTTAGGAATCAAACCCAACCCAATGTGGAGGTTGTCAGAAAACTGCTGGATATAGTCATCTTGGAAGACCGTGGCTTCATGTGTACTAGGCAAGATGCTCTACCATTGAGCTAAGCCCCGGTCTTTCTCCTGATTTTGGCTTTCAAATTTTCCTGCCCTTTCTGCCCCAGATATTGAATTTGCATATGATAAGTTTTAATAAATACTTACTTGTCAGAGTAAAGAGGTCGACCTTGAGCCAAGTGAATTTCACTGTTTCTAGGGGCAGCTATCATAGGTGATACCTGATAGGTGTCTCTGTCCTTGGTCCTGTATTATCAGTATCTGTAGGTAGGAAAGATACATCTTTCTCATTGTAAGGTGAAAAAAATAAAAAGAAAAACCAATATTTTTATCATTCCAACTATTATACCTATTCCTCACCTTGTTTCTCTCCTTAATCACTACTAAACTGTGAATACAATTAAATCTATCTACTGCCCTCTATCATGGGCCATTCTTGGTTCCACTAGGCCATCTATATTCTGTGGCCTCCTTCACACTAGAAAACTATTCATAGTCATACTAACAGACATTTACTGAGCATTTGTTTTGTACACTGAGTACTTTTCAGATATTATCTATCTCATTTCACATGCATCATAACTTCGGTACCATAATTATCGCTGTTCTACAGATGAAGAATCAGAGATAGATACAGAAGGATACCTTATATTATAAACATTTTCCATAATTCTTCAGTGAGGAGCAAAGATGAGACTATGTCAAAGAGCTTTCTATTAAGTAAAGTGGATGCAAACATCATACTATTTTCTGCTTCATAACAAGACTCAATTAATGCTTGTTGAATGAATGAATGAGTAAATATTGCTGGTATGTGCCATGTTTGTGAAGGTAGAATCCCTAACATAATGTAAAATGTAAATATGCCAAGTACTGTGTCTCTACTCAGTAGTCACCCCACCCTGACATACACATGCCAGTTTCCTTCCTCTCCTTCCACTTCCTCTAATTTCACAATCAAAATGATTGTCTGATTGCATATCTTTAAAAGGTCATGATAAATTATTCTGTAATGTTTGAAATGTTATGCTCAGAAAGGTCAAATCTTATTTTTTGGTATGAAGTGTCATATAGATTTGTTTTTCCTCGGCATTTTTTCTTTTTTTCAAAGATGTGAAGAAATTTAGAGCAGGGTGCCCTCTTGAGGAAATTCTAGCACTTTCCTTCTCAAGAACTGACAGAATAAAATTAGAAGTCCATTAAATATTACACTATTAACAAAGTTCAAATAAATGAAATATTAAAAAGTAACAATAACCAGATACAAGTTACTTGAGAATTAAGGTTCTTAACTCTGTGATCTAATACAGCACTATAAATAAGAATTTTTAAATGAAAACAAAAACTTCTGAAAGATATTTCATGTCTTCATTCTCGCCTACTAGTCTTTCATGTAATTTACTTTTATTTATTAAGCACCTGTTTTGTGCCAAGAACTATGCTGAGCACAGAGGTCAATGAAACAGCTTCTGCCTTTGCCAAACTTATAGTTTGTGAGGGAGTTTGTGAAAGGAAGCGAATATATATGTAACTACAAAATGAATAAAATACTATGAAGGAAATGGAAAGGTAGTAGGATAAAGAATAATTAAATAAGTTCTACTTAGGGTTGTCAAGGAAAGTCTCTCTGAGATGAAATCATTAAGCTGAATCAGTTTGTTCTTCCGTCCATTCCAGCTGTGCTCCTCTAACATAGTCTTGTGCACTTCCTTCTAACCTGGGTCTTATCTCTCCTTGTCTCTGTCCCAACCCATGGGTTAACCCCTGTGGGCAAGTAAGCCAGTCTCCTTCATCTTTCTGCACTTCTATTACCCTCGGTAGTCCCCTTTACCTTAGAGCCTCACATCCTTCACCCTGGGTTGTCTGTTTGATTAAGAGGTATCTTGCATCATTATACTCAAAGACCCCACCTCCATAAAGGCTAAGGTCCAAGAAGATAAAACAGATAACCCTGCCTTCCACTATGCTTTGTGTAGAGAGAGACAAATAAGCATGAAGTAGGCCGAAAACTTGATCAATTGTAGTACTTTTTGGTCATGTTGACCTTGAAACATATAGAAGCCTCCCAGTCAGAATTGGAAGAAAGGAATTAGATCTCAGGAAAGAATTGTATAGAACTATTTTTAGAGAGTTTTATTTTGTCTCAAAGCTCCCACGTTATTTATACAGGTTTACTGTATAATGGTTGTCCTGGATCCCCAATATTATATTGTTCTAGCCCTTGTACCTAAGTTTCTTTCTCTAGATGGGTTTAATCTACAAGATTAGAAGATTTAATTGATACAGAAAGTATTACCTCTAAGTGGATGGCCTACAATGACTTCAGGGTTGGAATTTAGGTGCCCATTTGAATCTGGGATATGAACTTTGAATAGGCTGCTTTACTTGTTGAAAAAAATAAAACAATTGCTATCTTAGTTTAGTAGTATCATAAGTATTTTTCCTTTTATTAAGTTCTCTGAATATTTTGCTCTAGGACAATGATTAAAATACTCAAAACATTAAAAATTTAAAAAATGGCTCCAAAGTAAATTTCTTCATATTGTTTCTTTGTGTTTTATTTAGGGAAATTATCGTTTCATGAAACTCTTACTTACACGCAGAGCAAACTGGATGCAAAAGGATTTAGAAGAAATGACGCCTTTGCACTTGACCACCCGGCACAAGAGCCCTAAGTGTTTGGCACTTCTGCTGAAGTTTATGGCACCAGGGGAAGTAGATACACAGGATAAAAACAAGGTAATAGACTGGCAAAGTCTAAGACAAATGAGAAGAGAAAGCTAATGTTTCTATTTATGAAATGAAACTTCAAGAAATAAAGCCTAAATTACCACCCATACCTATGGTAGAAGAACTCCATATCTCCATCCATTCCAGGAAAGTATTTCACTTAAGTTCTGTTATTTTAGCCTCTTCACTACCATGTAGGTACTATCATCTCCTTTTTATAGATGGAGACACTCAAGCTCAGAAAGATTAAAATTTTGCACAAGACCCAAGTGATAGAACTAGAATTCAAATCCAAGCCTGTTTAACTCCAAAACCCAATATTGACAGAGTGTCATGATAATTAATGTAGTGGTTAGGTTAATGGTACCCAGAGCAATATCCCAAGGCATAGTGGTCTAATGGCCTGGGCTTTGGCATCAGATTCCTTGGGTTTCAATCCAGAAGCCACCACTTACTTGTTCTGTGTCCTTAGGGAATGCTTAATTCCTATATGTCTCAATTTTCTCATATGTGAAAGGAGTATTCAGATTGTTGAAAATAAGGGATGGGGCTGTAGCTCAGTGGGAGAGTAGTACTTGCCTAACATGTGTAAGGCACTGAGTTTGATCCTTAACACCATGCAAAAATGAAACAAAATAAAGGCATTCTGTCCATCTACAACTAAAAAAAAAAGAAAAAGATGGTTGACCTCAAAGTGGATCAAGCATCTAGGAATTAAACCAGAGACCTGCTTTTCAGCAAAAGAAACAATCAGTGAGATGAACAGAGAGCCTACAGAATGAGAGCAAATCTTTACCACAAGCACATTAGATAGAGCCCTAGTCTCTAGGATATATAAAGCACTCAAAAACCTTAACACCAATAAACCAAATAACCCAATCAATAAATGGGCAAAGGAAGTGAACAGACACTTCTCAGAAGATAATATACAGTCAATCAACAAATATGTGAAAAAAACGTTCAACATCTCTAGCAATTAGAGAAATACAAATCAAAACTACTCTAAGATTTCATCTCACTCCAGTCAGAATGACAGCTACCAAGAATACAAACAACAATAAGTGTTGGTGAGGATGTGGGGTAAAAGGCACACTCTTACATTGCTAGTGAGACTGTAAATTGGTGCAGCCAATCTGGAAAGCAGTATGGAGATTCCTTGAAATGGTACCACCATTTGACCCAGTTATCCCACTCCTTGGTTTATACCCAAAGGACTTAAAAACAGTATACTACAGAGACATAGCCACATCAATGTTTATAGCAACACAATTCACAATAGTTAAATTGTGGAACCAACCCAGACACCCTTCAGTAGATGAATGGATAGGGAAACACTTGTATATAGACACAATGAAATATTACTCAACAACAAAAGAGAATAAAATCATGGCATTTGCAGGTAAATGGATAGAGTAGGAGAATATAGTGCTAAGTGAAGCCAATCCCCAAAAACCAAAGGCCAAATGTTTTCTTTGACATGAGGATGCTGATTCATAATGGCAATTGGGGGGAGCATGAGAGGAATGGAGGAACTTTAGATAGGGCAAAGGGAAGGGAGGGGAAAGGAAGGGGCATGGGGGTAGGAAAGACAGTGGAATGAGTTAGACATCATTACCCTAAGCACATGTATGAAGACAGGAATGGTGTGAAAATACTTTGTATATAACCAGAGTCTTGAAAAATTGGGTTCTGTATGTGTAATATGCAACAAATTACATTATGTCATCATATATAACAAATTAGAACAAATAAATAATTTAATTAAAAAATTATTAAATAAAATGAGATAATACATACAAACTGTTCAATGCTTAGTGCATAGTATACTCTCAATTAACGCTCACTGATACATAACTATTAATTTAATTTTAAGTTCTAATATCTGATCTAGCATTTATTGCTATGTTCTCTGTTACTAAATTCTTAAATATTGTACATAATGGTCATCTTTTTGGTTGATGTTCTGAACGTTCTTTACCCGAGGTAAAAATGTAGTCATTAGTTAAACAAGAACAATAATCTTCTTTCTTCCCATCAGGTACTTAGTCATAGAGTCTTGTTAACTCCAGTGCTCCCATGTAATTAAAACTCTTATAGCCAGGCACAGTAGGACGACAAGCCTGTAATCCCAGCTGCTTGGGAGGCTTAGTAGATGATCATAAGTTCAAGGCCAGCCTCAGCAACTTAGTGAGACCCTGACTCAAAATAATTCTTTTTAAAAGAAAGGCCTGGAGATATAGCTCAGTGGTAGAGCTCCCCTGGATTCAGTCCCCAGTACCACACACACAAACACACACACACACACACACACACACACACACACACACACACACACACCTTCTTAAGATTAACTCCACTAGTTTCATATTTAATAATCTTTTTGCTCTCATAGTGTTTATATAGTTTTCAAGTTTTGTTTAGTAGTCACCAGAGTTCTGAGGTCAACTTTTACTTTATAGTAAATATACATTAATATTGTTCCTAACTCATGGTATCTACAGTGGTAATATTTCACTAGAAAAAAACAGTGCAATTCATCCACAAAGAACCATTAATCACTTAAACCTCCCATGTCTTTAAGCTTTATAATATCTTCCTCAATGTTCTAGGCACTTCCTGCTGTCTTCTAGTATCTCTATGTTCTGTTTTTGGACAGAAAAGGGAGTTTATGTAGTCAGACAGATGAAACAGAGCTGCACATTACAGCAAGTCACAGAGACGACAACAAGACCAGAGCCTAAAGAGTGATTCTTCAAAGACCATCTGTAGTAAAGAATCAGGTGTTTTGTGTTGTTTTTTTTAATTTTTAATGTCACAGATCAATTATTTTATAACATGCATTAAAAATGAACAAAAATCTAATTAAGAAGGACAAAGAACTTGAATATACATTTCTCCAAAGAAGATACACAAATGGCTGAAATGATCATTAAGAAAATGCAAATCAAAACCAGTGAGCTAACACTTTACAACTGTTAGTATGACTATTATCCCAAAAACAGAAAATAACCAGTGTGGGAAGGAAGTGGAGGAATTTGAATGCTAATGCCTTAATGGAAGAAGTGTAAAATGCTGCAGCTACTATACAAAACAGCATGGCAATTCCTCAGAAATTAAACATAAAATTACCATATGATCTGGCAGTTCCAGTTTTGGATGAATACTCAAAGAATTGAAATTAGGAACTCAAACAGACATTTGGGCATTAATGTTCAATAACAGCATTATTCACAATAGCCAAAAGATGAAAACATTTGGGACTTACCCAAATGCCCATTGATAGATAACTGGATGATTAAAATGAAGTAGCTATCTGTATATACAATAGAATATTATTCAACCCTAGAAAGGAATGAAATTATGAAATATGCTACAACACGAATAAACTGTGAAGAAACATACTAAGTGAAATAAGTCACGAATGGATAAATACTGTTTGATTCTACTTACGAAGTACCTAGGATAACCAAATTTATTCAGACAGAAAGTAGACTGATAGTTGCCAGGAGCTGGGGGAAGTTAAGACTGGATAGTTATTGTTAAATGGGTACAGAGTTTCAGTTTGGGAAGATAAAAAATTTCTGGAAGTGTAGAGTATTGATGGTTGCACAGTGATCTGAATGTACTTAATGCCACTGAACTGTCCACTTAAAAACAGTTAAAATGGTGAATTTTCTATTATGTATATTTTAACACAGTAATCAAAGAATTACTAAAACACAAAAACAAACATTTAGAAAAATAAGTTCAAACTTTTTACTATTAGGCTGAACAGACATATTTCAATAAATATAATCAGAATAAACCTGACATAGGAAAATAAAGGATGATTAATAATTGCTATTATAGTTGTGATTTTACTGTGTTCCACAGTTGTTATTAAACAAAACTAACAAATTAAATCGACTTTATATTAAATGCCTGTAGGTACACTTTGAATATATGTGTCAGATTTTAATGTGACAGATGAGCTTGGTTCATGCTCATTAAATTATCTAATTCTTGATTGGACTGATGATTATGCTGTCAGGGATAATGTACATATAAACAGTTCCTATGTTTTTCTTTAGTAATTCTCCTAATAGCAAAAACAGTCTTATGTCTGTTCAGAGGTATGTGGATGAGTATTTAGAAATGATTTTCAAGCAGTTTCAACAAGTTGAGGATGATCATTTTATTTGAAATAAAGCAAGTGTTGCTATACTTTCAAAATGTATCTTTTCTTCAGTAACTAGGTCTAACAGTTATCCTATAAAATTATAAATTTAAATTTATCTTTTGATATAAAGAATGGATTCTAGATCTACGAACTTTCTATGGATATATCTTCTTTAAAAAAATATTTTTTAGTTGTAGTTGGACACAATACCTTTATTTTATTTATTTTTATATGGTGCTGAGGATCGAACCCAGCACCTGGCACATGCTAGGTGAGCATTCTACCTCTGAGGCACAACCCCAGCCCCTATCTTCTTTTTCGATAGATATTAAAATTAAAATCAGTCTATCAAATTCTAAGGTACTTGGTGACAACCAAATATACAATGTATCAAGCTTAGTATTTACTTCATTGATAATTATTCATAATTATTGGGCAGTTTTTATCTTTCTTAGCATTAGTTGTATTTGATAAACTAAATGACTGTTACCATTAAGAGGTTGGACTCTATAATCAGACCACCTGGGTTAAAATCTCAGTTTAGCCACATACTACCTTTATGTTCCCGAGTAAACTACTCATCTTCTTTGTACTCTTTTCGTATTAATCACATGCAAATTAAAGAGTACTTAGTTCCCAGAGATGTCATGATGACTGTGTGGGATAAAATTATAGAACTCTTACACCCATGCCTATTACACAATAATAGCTTGGGGCTATTCCTTCCTAATATACAGTTCTTTTGAGATCCTCTCGCTCTTTCAGCAAACAGCTCTGCATTGGAGTGCCTACTACAACAACCCTGAACATGTGAAGCTGCTTATCAAGCATGATTCTAACATTGGGATTCCTGATGTTGAAGGCAAGATCCCTCTCCACTGGGCAGCCAATCATAAAGATCCAAGTGCTGTTCATACTGTGAGATGCATTCTCGTGAGTAGAAAAATGCTACTGGACCCGAATGGCCATTTTTGGAAAAAACAAATCTCCTATGAAATATCTAATGTGTACAAAAGCATATATATGTTTATACGTATTATACAAAAAAATCATGAAGCAAAAAAACACAACAAACGTGTGGACTTATCCCCCAAGACATAGAGTATTTCAGTACTATTGTTTAAGAGCAGAGTTTTCCTGAGTTCCAATTTCCAAATACATTCAGTCCTCTGATGCTGTTCTCACTCCTGACCCCCATCAACTACTTTCCTGAATTTATATTTATCATTCCCTTATTTTGCTTTATATTTTAAATTAAATAATAAGTAGATATAAGCAAGTATCAGGGAAATGCATGTGTACTATAAAGAATAAGGAAACAACAGATTCATGTACTCACCACTGAATTTTTAAAAAGGTACACTACCATTACCATTGAAGTCTTCTGGGTAGAGTATCTTCCAGTACCATTCTATTCTCTGCTTCCTTCTACTGATTTTCATTAGTTTTAAATTTTATATACATGAAATCACATTGTAGATATTCTTTGTAGTGTGATTTTACTTGTTCAACTTCATGCTGGAGATTTTATATATGCTACTATGTGTAACTATAATGTATTAATTTTAACTTCTATGTAGTATTCCATTTTATGAATAAACTGTATATTATTTTATTATCGACAGACATTTAAACTATATTTTTGATGTTTACAATCACTGTTACTTTGAGTATTTTTTAAAATAATCTGTGGAATATATTTGGGTTTTTTTCAGTTGTATAGGAATGCAATTGATTTTTTGCTCATTAATTATATATCTAACCTATTTTTATTAATTTTGAATACTTGTCAGTAGATTGTATGAGGTTTTCTAATCACTGTGTCCTAACTTCCAACTTTACATAGTGTCGTCGCTATTTGTTTTTAACACATAAATTAGACTTTTAAAAGTGTTATTTTGTATGTACAATGATTATTTATTTTTACTTGCATCCTACCTAATTTTTTCTTTACTCTTAAGTCTTCCTTCTGGAATTATTACCTTCCTTCCTAATATATAGTTTTTAAAACTTCTATTAGTATAGATATATAAGTGGTAAACACTGTTTTTTGTTTGTTTGCTTGGGGGAGTGGTTAATTGATTCTTCTTTTTTTTTTTTAGTTGTTGATAGACCTTATTTTATTTATGTATTTATATATGGTGATGAGAATCTAACCCAGTGCCTCACATATGCCAGACAAGTGTACTACCGCTGAGCCCCAGCCCCAGCCCTAATTGATTCTTTTTAGATATATATAACATTAGAATATGTTTTGACATAATCACAAAAGCATGGAATATAATTTGCTCTAATTCAGTCTCCAGTACTTCCCTCTCCCCTGCCTCCTCTCTCCTCCTTCTCCTTTCCCTCAAATCTACTCATCTTTCTGTAATTTATTTATAGTTTCTTTTAAATTAGTGTCTTATGGAATATTTGATGTTGAGATTCACTGTGGTATATTCATCTATGTACATAGGAAAGTTCAGTCAGATTCACTCCACTGTTCTTTCCCATCCTGCCTCCTCCCCTTCAGTCCCCTTAGTCTGCTCTACTGACCTTTCCCCTATTTTGGTGGAATTCCCTCTTCCCTTTTTACCCCTTTCTAGCTCCCCCTCGACCACCACTTACTTATTTGGGGTTAGCTTCCATATATCAGAGAAAACATTTGACCTTTGACTTTTGGGGGCTAGCTTGAACTTTCTTTTTTTAACTGTTGAGAGTGTCTGCCTTGGACTGGGGGTAGAGCTCAGAGGTAGAGCATTTGCCTAGCATGTGCAAGGTCCTGAGTTCAATCCCCAGTACCACCAACCAACCAAACAAACAAGTCTGCCTTTCAACCTTGCTCTTGAAAAAACAGTTTTCTTGTGTACACAATCCCAGGTAGTCAATTTTCTTAGCTCTTTCAGGGTATTATTTTGCTCCTTTCTGCCTTTTGTTATCACTCTTCAGAAGTCTATTATTGGTCTAATTATCATTCTTTTTTAGATGACCTATCCTTTTCACTCTAGCTATTTTAGTTCTTTCTGTTTTGACATTCTCTAGTCTTACTACAGTGTGTTTAGGGGTGGCCATTTTAAAAAATCCTGTTTGGTGTACATTCTGATTATTGTAGCTCAGTTCTGAAACATATAGCTATTATCTCTTTAAATCTTGATTCTCCTTTATTAACTCTATTCTTGCCTTTGGGGTCTCCAATTATCTATATTTTAGAACTTTTCACCTTATTCTCCATGTTTCCTCACTTAATTTTCTATTCCCGACTCCTGGAGTCTCTGCTGCATTCTGGGTAATGGCAACCGATTCATCTTGTCGTTTACTAGTCTTGCCTGACCTATTGAGTGTTTAATTCTAGTGATTGTATTTTTTTTTTCACTTTTAAAATTCTACTTGGTTTGTTTTCAAATCTGTCTTATCATTATGTTAGTTTTTCCTTTCTTGCTCACTTCCCATTTCATTTTTTATCTTTTTACATATTTCATATATTCATTTCATTTATTTACTTATTAATTTATTTTGGTGCAAGGCCTTACATGTGCTAACCAAGTGCTCTACCACCAAATTACATCCCCAGCCTTTATTTTTATATTCTTTATTCAGATAATTCCAATATCTGAAGTCCTTGGGGGCAATTCTCATTTATTTCCTCTCAGATTTGGCCTTATTTTTCCCTTGTATAAACACACTTTACTCATTAGGAGTCTCCAGGGCCTAAATCATACAATTTTTTTTGGAAAATAGGCTGACTGGATAGGAAGCTTTAAACCTGGGGATGGCCCTTCAAAGAGTTCTCAGATTGAGGCAAGAGGGCTAACCTGAGAAGGATCATGACCTTGGGTGAGGTAACTCTGTGGCTGAAGAAATTCCAGAAAGCTGACAGTTAAGCATTACTAGCTGGTAGAGCTCCCAGCAGCTAGGGAAGTAAGGCCTCTAGTCTTGAAGGGGGACCTAAGCAGTGCATTATAATGTCTGCTACAAAGATCCAATGGAAAAATGAATAACTATTGAGAACTGTCAATTTACAGAGCAATAAAATGAATCGCCAATAAACATATAATTAAAAATCTCCCTTTCATTCATGAAAGAACTATAAATTAAGACATCATTGAAGTGTCTTTCATACTCATATGGGGAAAATGTAGTAAGCTTGATATACCGAGTGATTAATTTGTGCCAGCATGTGGGGAAATAAAAAATTTTGCACATTGTCATGGGTGTGTTAATTGGTATAACCATTTGGAGAGCAGTTTGACAATATCTGATTGAAGATACAGATGTCCTTCAACCCAGTAATTCCCCTTTTGGTATCTAGCCAAGAGAAAAACCTCACACATGTGCTACAAGGAACAATAAAGAAAGTATATTTATTGCAGCATTATTTGTAATCATGAAGAAATGGAAATTAGCTAACTGTCCTTCAGTAGAATAGACAACTAAATCATATTTTATTCATGCACTTCAACAAATGAACTATATCAGCATAGATACCACAAGTAGGTTGTTGAGAGAAAAAGTTGCCAAAAGATATACATGTATACTGCCATTATGTAAATATCAAAAACACACATACAAAATTTATGTATTGCTTATGGATGTGCCCATATGTACAGAAGGACAAAATAAGGCTTTAACTGAATCTGTAACAGATACAAAAACACATTAGGCAAAATATTGATAACTTTTTAACATAGTGCATGATGGCTATTCTTTTCTATACTTTTTATAGTTAAATATGAAAATAAATTTTTAAAAGTTTTAGACTGTACCCTTTTTTTGGCTTTATCACTTTACTTGTGACCATAAAGAATGTGGAGATTTTGCTTAGAAAATTGCTTATTACTTATGCCAAATAAAATTTATTGAGGATTCCACATATGTCTAAAAGTCTTTGGTTCCTTCAAAATAGGATGCTGCTCCAACGGAGTCTTTACTGAACTGGCAAGACTATGAGGGGCGCACACCTCTTCATTTTGCTGTCGCTGATGGAAACCTGACGGTGGTTGATGTCTTGACCTCATATGAAAGCTGCAATATAACGTCTTATGATAACTTATTTCGAACCCCACTTCACTGGGCAGCTTTACTAGGTAAGTTGGCTTTAAATTACAGGATCAATAGTAGGAAGAACTACATGAGTATAGGAAAGTTCCTATGCCTTCTCTTCCCCTGTTGGTTCCCATCTCCTATTTAAATATTTTAATTTTTCATTGATATGTTATTTTATAAACTGCCTCCCTTCATTGTATGCTTAAATTTTAGTTATGTAACTTTGTTTTCAGTTAAATGATGTTACCTTTAATTTCAACATCATATTGTGACTTTTTAACTTTTGTTTTTCATGTTCATTGCCTTTATTTATGGGGAAAGGGGCTTTGATTTTATGTTTGTGCTAATACCATGATAATTGCTTTTTTCCTTCATATTTGCTTTTTATTTAAACTTTTGGGGGAGTCACTTTTTTAGTCCTTTTTTTTTTATAGATAGGGATCTCACTATGTTGCCCATGCTGGCCTCAAACTACTGGGCTCAAGTGGTCCTCCTGCTTCAGCCTTCTAAGTAGCTGGGACTACAGGTGTGAGCCACTCTACCCAGCTGCTTTTTTTTTTTTTTTTGGCAGTTCTATGGTTCTATAGATATTGAACCTAGGGCCACGCCTCATGCATGATGCCAGACAGACATATGCTCTACCACTGAACTATATCCCTACCAAGGGATCACTTTTTTAGATGAGAGAGAGAGAGAGAGAGATTTTTCTTTTCTTTTCTTTTCTTTTTTTTTTTTTTTTTTTGAAAAGGGTACATTCTGAAAGGCTTTCTCTTTTGCTGACTCATTAATAATTAAATGAGAATTTGGTTTTTTCCCCCCTGGTATTATACTATTATTAATTTTTTCAGGGTTTTTCTTAATTTTGTTTGTTCTTTTGCCTGTTTCCTTTGTTTTCTGTCTTTTGGTTTATGGATTAGGTTTGTTGCTGTTATTTGGTTTTGAAATACTTTGTGTTATTAGGAGGATTTTTAGTTTCTGTTAGGGATTACTTCAACTTATCAAAAACAGTTTTTTGAGTCTGAGTCTATTTATCTGCTAACTTCCACATAAAGACAGAATTTAGCACACTTTTACTCACTATTCTTTTAATATTTGTTGATATAATCTGAGGTTTTTCCCTCCAATTATTATTATCTTGATCTTAGTTTATAAATTACACATTGTCTCTTTTGAACATGATTTTTCTTTTGCCTTCAGTTTTTATAATCAAATTTATAACTGGTATTTAAACTTCATTTCAATGCATGGATTCACCCCTTTTTCCTTTTCCTCTAGAATGTGAGTGTATTTGGCAAATTTGACTCATAACTAAATTGATTTTTTTACCCATAAATTCTGCTTTCTTTCTGCCTCCTGTATAGATTGTAATTTAGATTGTGTTTTCACTTCCTTCTCTCCATATTTCTTTTCATTTTTTTCCCATCAGCATTGGGAATTGAACCCAGAGACACTTTATTGCTGAGCTATATTCCATCCCTTTTGTTCTTTATTTGGAGACAGTTCTCTTGAAGTTCCCCAGGCTGACCTCAAACTTACTCTCCTCCTGCCTCCACCCCCTCGTTGGTTGGGAATAGAGTCATGCACCACCACACCCAGCTTTACCTATATTTCTTTAATTTCATCTTATTTCCTTTTGCCTCCTTCCATTCATTACCTTTGTATTTCAGTCTGTTTTCTTCTTAGGGTGTTCTGTTTCTGTTTCCTAGAAGCCACCTCTTTTTATCATAAGTCAAAGATACCAGTTTCCTGAATTTTTCCTCTGGATCCTTCTTAGATCACTTCAGAGGTATGCTCTATATCTTTCTTCTGGTTCCTTTTCCCCTGTGCTATAGGATGCTTTCTAGTAGTCTTCACTGAATTTTTATCTTTATGCCACAAAACAAGATGGGATGTGTTCAGATTAACTGTGTGGCATAGATTGCCTTGTGTTCTAGAGACTCCACCTTAAGTCACATATGCAAAGTAGATGAGCACAGTACCACTCAAATTCCTGTTTTTCTGCCTGGTTTTCATTCAGTGTATCCTTGCTGTGCAATATGGCATCTTCTTCATTGCCCAGTTCCCCAATGTGCTCTAGTAATAAAGAATATGAAATTCAGGTTTCTACGCTATTATAGGTTCAATTATTTTTTTTATCTTTTCTATAGTTCTTCACTTATAGAACCCACTTCCTCCAGAGTGTACTGCAGAATATTGTCCCACCACTACCTTGTCATACCTACCTCCTTGTTTTGTGGGATTTAAAATCACTGCCTTTATGTTAAAAGACTAGGGGAGAGAGATTAGAGGCCAGGAAGCCATTCAGGATGTAGAATAGTAGAAGGGAACAGCTGTTAATTGGTGATGGAACCTTGAGACAGGCACAGGGAATCCTAAGAGGACCTATCTTCCCTCCTCTGTGACTATTTACAAAGTAAAGTCAGGGAATGCAATGAGATGATACCTAATATTAGGTACCTAATACCTAATAATATTTTCTTGGTCTAGCAGTTATACCCAATGTCATTTCTTTCTCAGTTGAAGCATTAAGATTTTAGTGCTGTGTGTTTTCACCTTGTTCTGTTCTATCTAGTATGCTGGTAAGAAGTTAGATGAGTCTACACTGGAAGACAGTACTATTCACAAAACATTTTGAATGCTGCATTATGTGCGAGTGATTTTTCTTACATCTTTCTTTTTTCAAATAGATTATAAATTAATTGTGTCCTTCCTATTTTATAACTACCTTGTTGTGTTTGCTGTCAGGCCATGCACAGATTGTCCATCTCCTTTTAGAAAGAAATAAATCTGGAACTATCCCGTCTGACAGCCAAGGAGCAACACCCTTGCACTATGCAGCTCAGAGTAACTTTGCTGTAAGTAAAATAAGACAATTTTTTTCTTTTGGTGATGCTGGGAACTGAACCCAGGGCTTTGAGCATGCTGGGATAGTGCTCTTCCACTGAACTATATCCCCAGCCCAATAATTCTTTTTTCTTACTTTTTATTTTGATATAATACATGCAGTTGCAGGGAACAATACAAGATCCCTTGTACTCTTCACCCAGCTTACCCTAATGGTAACATCTGGTACAATTATCAGAAATGGGAAGTTGACAATGATCTTATTCAAATTTCACCAATTTTATGGGTGCTCATTTGCCTGTGTTGATATAGCAATTATCTTCTGACAATTGTTCATATTGTTAATTCTGTGATTCAAGTGACATTTCAACTTTTTGTGAAGCTAGTCACATGCAAAGTTTGATATAGCTTTTATTTTAATGTTCAGTGTAATATTTTGCTTTATGTAAGTAAATGTGCTTCATCTTTTGTTACATTTATAGTACTAAGGACAACTTAGTGTTCAACAATCTTTATTTTCCTAAAAGCAGTGTGGCAAGGCTTTGGAATTGGAAAAACCTTGGCTGGAAACTGTCTGTATGACCTTAATGGAAATTTCTTAACCTGAATCTTTGTTTCTTAATCTGTAAAATGAGGATAATTATGCCTTTTCTTTTTGGATTGGTGTAAAGACTAGAGAAAATTTATGACCAAGTGCCCACTATAATTGCTGGCCTAGAACAGGTACTGAATAGAATATGTTCTTATTACTAGTGCTAATAATTATGTATTTTATATCTGAGAAAGCAAACATGAATTGTTCTTTCAGAAACACTGAATATCAGCAATAGTTCTTCCTTTATAGCTCTTTATGTTTTGCAAAGCACTTTCCTGTTCATTATGTCCTCAGACCACCCTGCAACATGACAATGTGTAAGCTAGATCAGCTTCCTGAGTATGTATGGCCAGCAAAAACTAAAGACTGAAACAAAGATTCACACACACATTAAAACAGTCACAGTTGATTGTGCTGTCTTCTACAGGGGTGTACATTCATGAAACCCTTGGTTTTATTAAATTATGATAATATTATCATCAGTACAGAATAATTTCAACTTCTTGACTTCTCCAAATACTTCTTGAATACTCAGAGGGTGAAAATATTTTACTTTCATACCCTTCTTTACTCTCTGGTCTCAAAAAAAATATGTCTATAGTCCTTCCTTCTTAGCATTCTTAAAAATTCAAGAGTTATCATCTGGAATTTTATCAAATCATTATCTTCTTTTATCTCCCAACATCACAGAAAAATGCAAAGTAGTATTTTGAGGAAGAGTACTTTCTTCTAACAAATAGATAAGAAATTCTCTTGGCCTAGGCTTTTCAATCTATGGATATCAGACCTCAACCCCATAATACAACGTTAAGTCTATGAGATGGGTCATATTATCCAGTATACAGATTTTTTAAAAAAAGCAAGATTCCAAGAGATTAAATTACTTGTCCATGGTCTCAAATCAGTTTTAGGCTTCAAATTTATAAATGTACAGATACCAATAATTAAATAACTATACTAATGGAGTAAGAAAGAATAGTAGAACATTATGGATGTTTATTCAAAGAAATATTTGCTTTAGATGTCTGCTAATTAACAGAGTTGATTCCTAATGTTATGCAAATTTTCTAAGTTCTCTTTCAAGTCCCTTGATCAACTTGGCCCCTTGTTAACTCACAGGAGGATGCAACTTCATTTTTTAAAAATATCAAAAAACAAAAGCAAACAACCAAAATTCTTATAAATATTCATCATTAAGAAAAAACATACTCAGCAAAAAAATTGCAAATTAGTAAGAGAAAAAAACCAAAAAATGACAAACTTTTAAAGTGCATTTAATGAACATATACAGTAGACCTTAGAAGTATAGCTTTAAAAAAAATTTGTAGTTGTAGATGGACAGCATGCCGTTATTTTATTTGTTTATTTTTTAATGTGATGCTAAGGATCTAGCCCAGTGCCTCACATGTGCTAAGCAAGTGCCCTGCCACTGAGCTACAGCCTCAGCCCAAGCATAAGCTTTCATACCTCAGTAATTCACCAGTAGTTTTAAGACAAGGAAACTATATGATGTAGTAAAAGGAGTACTGTAATTTAACCCTGTCATCTATTTTTGTTTCTACCCCAAATATTTGTATGACCTTGAATCTGAATTTTTTTTCATGCATAAAATGAGGGACTGGATTAAATGAGCCCTTAATTTTATTCTTTCTGTACTAAGACTCAATATTTTATACATTTTTTCTAAATTAAAAGCCCAAAAAACTTCTTTCTGAAACTTTAACATTGATTCAAGCACAAGTTTCTTGATAGTTCTAAAAATTTATAAGAATCTGAGTTCTGAGAAAATAGGCAATTTAAAACATTGAAATTTTAGCAAGACCCTCTCTCAAACTAAAAAGGGATGAGGATGTAGCTCAGTGGAAAGCTCTCCTGTGTTCAACCCCCAGTTCCCTACTCCAAGATGCTGAAATGTTAACCCCCACTAAAGATGTCAGACACTGTTAGGATTGTCAAGGGTCCTGGGTTTTGTATGATTCCAGGGGAGTCACCTGGAATATAGGAATTGCTAAATAAATACGTTTAAATGAACACTGTGTTTCTCAGTAACCATCAATCAGTGTTCAGTAAGTATGTTAACCATCTTTAAAAGTTCTAGTAACAAAACACATGATGTATTTATTTTCTCCTGAACACTCTGCATGTAAAATGTCTAATAAAACATATATTTTAATGTTGGTCATGACTCTGAATATGTCTGAGTCTTTTAACTGCCACTTCCAAGTGACCAAACGTTTTTAAACTTAAATAAAAATGATCATTCTCAATTTTGAGAATGTTGAATGAGAGGTTTAGATTATGGTTTTAAAGTGTTATAGAAACTAAAACCAATATATAAGGACAGGGAATTATTATTTTCAATGAAAATTTTTACTCTGTTATTCATAGAAAAGACAATTTAATTTGATTCAAAAGTAAGGGGAAATACTTTACTTCTTAGTGAAAAGATATATATCTGCTATGTTACCATAAAATGTTACCCTGTTGTCTCAATTTTTTAAATGAAGTTTTCTTACAGGAAACAGTACAAGTTTTTTTAAAACATCCTTCAGTGAAAGATGATTCAGACCTCGAAGGAAGAACATCCTTTATGTGGGCAGCAGGGAAAGGCAGTGATGATGTCCTTAGGACTATGCTGAGTTTAAAATCTGACATTGATATTAACATGGCAGACAAATATGGGGGCACAGGTAAGAACTGGTAGATAAGTTCAGTTTGCTTTAATTCACCTTTCAAAGTATAGGTGGTACTATAAAATTTGAAATCATTGTTTCAAAAAATTGAAATCATTGTTCCTAACCTAATACTGTTTGAATTCACCACTTTTAAAGTTTGAGTTTGATAGCTTTTATTTCTTCCAAGTATTATGTCTAAAATTGCACATGTTTCTACCAGGTGAATTGTAGCATTTGGTTTAAAACATTGGTTGCTCCTTAAACATGGTTATGATAACTCTTCTGATCATTTATCTTTGTGCTTAAAAATTTTAAAAAAGCAGAAGCCACTTTAAAACTATGCATTTTTAGTAGTTACTAATTATATTTTCAAAAATTTAGAGTCATGTTTTAAAGAATGCCTGTGTTCTCACCAGTCTCACTTACTATGTTCTTTTCTCAGTTTTGAGTAGAATGACTGAGTACTGAATCTCCCACTTTAGAGATAACCTCCCATGACTCTAGGTTTCACAACTTCAAGGCAGCATTGCATCAGAAGCTCTTACTAGATGCTTATTTAATCTTTCTCTAATAAGAGAGTCCTTTAACTATGTATTGGTTACTAAGAGATGTACACATTTTTTAGCATTCAGTATCAACTTAGAGGTCTCTTACTTGTGTCCTATGTCCTAATTTCAAGTTAGAAAGAAAGAAAATTTACACACCAGTAAAATTTGCACACCAGTACTAAACAGAATTAAGAACTCAGTGATGGGTTAGCTTCACAGTATTATGGGTTTTTTATTTGTACAAACATACTAAAGCCATTTGCCCTACCTATTGTTCTAGATAAGATTTTGTTTGGCCACTAAAACTAGTGATGCAGTACTAAGGGGAAGGAAGAGGAGGGATTTGAAGTTACTACACTGAAAAATCATCCTACTTATACCAAGACCCTTCTAATTATTTTTTAAGATTTTAGGCAATTTCAATTTTATGACAAGCCTCTGTCAAGATTGTTTCTTTAGGGCTGAGGTTGTGGCTCAGTGGTAGAGCGCTTGCTTAGCATGCATGAGGCACTGGGTTCGATTCTTAGCACCACATATAAATAAGTAAATAAAATAAAGCCCATCAAAATCTAATAAAAATATTTGTTAAAAAAGATTGTTTCTTTATGGGCTAGAATCGTAGCTCAGTGGTAGAACATTTGCCTCACATTTGTGAGGCCCTGGGTTCAATCCTCAGCACCACATATAAATAAATAAAATAAAGATATTGTGTTCATCTACAACAAAAAAAATATTTAAAAAAAAAGGATTGTTTCTTTATCAAAGCCTCATAGCAGATCTTAAGTTTTTGTAGGGATATAAAGCAAACCCATAGGACATTGAGGTTATAAATGATCTGAACATTTAATTTTTTTATCAGATTCTCTTTACTATACAGTCTGCCACTTTATTTCTAACTTTGCTTTTAGTTTAACTTTTTCATGTATCTTAATAAAGTATGGGCAAGGATACTCGCATACTTTGACCAAAAGTATGTTTCTGATATGCACTGTGATTGGAGTTCAGGCATAAATTCTTCTCAGATTCATTAATTCCTGGGTTCTTTCTCCTGTGGGGATTTTTCTATGTATCAAAGATGCCTTCCATAATGGAATATTACTTGGCCATAAAAACGAGTGAAGTTATAGCATTTGCCAGCAAGTGGATGGGACTGGAGAATATCATGCCAAATAAAATAAGCCAGTCCCAAAAAACCAAAAGTCAAATGTTCTGTCTGATATGTGGATGCTAACTCACAACAAAGGAAGATGGGGAAGGGAAGAATAGAAGCCTATTGGATTAGACAAAGGGGAATGAAGGGAAGGGAGGAGGGAAGGAATTAGGAAAGACAGTAGAATAAATCAGACATAACTTTCCTATCTTTATATTTGAATACATGATTGAGGTAATTCCACATCATGTACAATCACAAAAATAAGATCTAATTAGCATAAGTTATACTCCACTTACGTATAATATGCCAAAATACATTTTACTGTCATGTAAATCCCAAAAAAAAAAAACAAATAAAAGAAAAAAAAGATGCCTTCCTTACATTTCTATGAAGGTGAGTTTCTCTCCATCATCCCTCTATAAGGCTGTTTTTTCCTCCCCATTAAGAGATCTTACCAATAGTAACATATGGACATTGTTTGGAATCTGATTCATATAAGTGAACTATTTTTTAAAAAGTCGTCATAAAAATGTGACATGTGACTATCTAGATATTTGATGGTATTATAGAACTTCTATTAGTATTTTTTAGGTATGACAATTGGGCATTGTGGTACACCAGTTATAAAACTATTATCTCTCAGCTTCAAGGACAACTTAGCTGAATGTTTAATTTTTTCCCACATCTCTGTTACTAGGCAGATTTCCACTTTATCACTAGCCTTGCTTTTAGTTGAAGGTTATCCTTTTATCTTCCTTTTGCAGTGCTGGGCCTGAGGCTCTGCAAATCAGATTTCCCCTTTGCCAGTGAGTGCCCTGTTAGCATGTGCACATACAGGAGGTAGAGGGAGACTGGAAGGTTTGAAGAGAAACAAAGGATTACATCATCCTGTTCGCTTCCTATTCTTGGTTTGTTTTCTGCTCTGGTCAGCATACTCTGTAATGGTTCTTCAGTGCAGCATCATTGTTTGTTTCATTGACAACAATTAATTTCACTCTGCATTTTTTCCAGCATGCACAATGCCAGTATCAAGAGCACCCTTCTTAGGGATGCCCAGACCAGTAAGGCAGAGCCCCTCCTCATAGGTCTGAGTTTCTGCTCTGCAGGGCTCTTCTAAGCTTTTAGATTTTAATAATTTTATTCTCTTCATTTTTGTTTCCCTAGTTGCAAGATTGGTAGCTACTTCCTACATTTTTTCTCCTTTTGCCTGTTAATTTTTTTAATACATAACTAACAATTTTTTTATACTGAATTGTCTCTGCTAAAATATCTGGTGAGGTTTCTGTCTTCTGACTAGACCTTGACTGATACACTGATGTTTTAAAAAAGAACCCTTGTCCTCCAGAGATAATAAAATATTTACCAATGAGAGGAAATGATTTTGGAATTTTAAAAGCCAGGAATGGTTGGTGGTTAGATGAAACAGGATTAGCCATGTATTGATAACTGTTGAATCTGAGTGATGGCTATATTGAGTTCACTGAACTAATATTTAATTTTGAATATGTTTGAAGTTTTCCATGAATATAAAGTTAAGTTTTAAAACAATTTAAAGTCCTCATGTAAAATCGCAGCACTTTTTTCAAAGAGGAAGTAATAATTGTTAAGTCTAACTTTTTTAAAGTAAATACAAATAAAATGGAAAATGTTATTTAATATGTCATTAATTCTATTTTTTGCTTAATTGAAATTTTGTCTTTTTAAAAATTTTACATATGGGTATTATTTATCTATAGAATATCTATTTCATACTTGATGCCACATCACAAGATTGTAACATTGAAAAATTAAATATTGAGGCAGGGTTGTGGCTCAGCGGTAGAGCACTCGCTTCACATGTGCGAGACCCTGAGTTCGATCCTCAGCACCACATAAAAATAAATAAGTGAAATAAAGGTATCATGTCCAACTAAAAATAAATAAATATTTTTAAAAAATAAATATTACCTTAAAATTAAACCTAGCCCAGGGGTTCCTAAACCTGCTCTTCAGAAGAGCAGATTTCTGTAGAGGTAGCTGAAATGCTGCTGGGGAGTAGACAGTCAAGTGGGTAACTTGCCACCCCTGATTCAAGCTGAACCACTCAACTTCTGGTTCATGTGTGGAGTGTTTTATAAAACTCATTTGGTGGGCTGGGGATGTGGCTCAAGCGGTAGCGCGCTCGCCTGGCATGCGTGCGGCCCGGGTTCGATCCTCAGCACCACATACCAACAAAGATGTTGTGTCCACCGAGAACTAAAAAATAAATATTAAAAATTCTCTCTCTCTCTCTCCTCTCTCACTCTCTCTTTAAATAAATAAATAAATAAATAAATAAATAAATAAATAAAACTCATTTGGTGGTGAGATGGTTCTTCTGCTCTTAAAAGTGAAAAATTCAATGAATTAGACATTATTACCCTATGTACATATATGATTACACAACCACCGGGCTGATTCTACATTATGTATAACCAGAAGAAGGAGAAGTTATACTCCATTTATTTTTGATGCATCAAAATGCATTCTACTGTCATGTATAACTAATTAGAACAAATAAAATTAACAATAAATTTTTTTAAATGTGAAACATCCCTGAACTATCACAGATATTATGCCATGCTTTCATCTGCCTCATAACATTCTCACCAGTGGTCTCTCAGCCTCTGGTTGACCAGCTTCCGCACAGCACACCTACAACTTCCATGGTAACCTGACTCTGTTAGAATGCTCTTCCTCATACTGAGCCCAGTTTAACAACCGACTGATCCCTTTGTGCTCTCCACACATGATAGGCCTTCAGATATCTGAAGTCACTCTTTTCTATCTGAATTTCATCTAGATCAAACCAACATGCAGCCATTTAGGTCAGCAGTTCCCAAACTCAGGAATATATAAGACTTACTAGAGGTATTTGTTTAAAAGCAGATACCATGCTATTTGGACAGAGATCCTATTTCAAATCCTATGATACCACCTCCAAAACATATTCTAATTCTTTCTCTGTTTTTCTCCATCTCCCTTTCTACCATCCTCATTCAAGTCTCCATCATTTTTTGCTCAGTCTACTACAAAATAACTGGCTCCCTGCCTGTATTTTAATCTGCTATAATGCATTCTTCTTATAACAGTGAGATGAGCCATTTAGAGCATAATTTGGATATAGATCACCCCCCTTACTTCAAGCCCTTTGGCGTCTCCCAACAGTCTGATATGTACGACCATTTACAATCTGGTCTTTTCTATCTTTCTCATTTATCTCCCTCTCACTGTGCTGCAGCTACTCTTGCCTTCTTTCAACACACAAAGTCATTCCTATCCTGTACCAACTGTTCCCTTTGCCCAAAATATTCTCTCTTTTTATGTTTCAGGTCTCAATTTAAATGTCAGCTCTTCTGCAAGGACTTCCTAACTATCAGTCAAAAGTAGTCTTCCAAGCTGGGCACAATGGTACACGCCTATAATCCCAGAGACTCGGGAGGCTGAGGCAGGAGGATCACAAGTTCAAACTTTTGATCATCAACTTAGCAAGGCCCTATGCAACTTAGTGATACCCTGTCTCAAAATAAAAAATAAAAATAAAAAGGCCTGGGATGTGGCTTGGTGGTTAAGTGCCTGTGGGTTTAATCCCCAATACCTCCCCATGCACACACACACAGTCTCCCAGTCACTCTCTATATAAAAATACCTTTTATGACATACATTTCTTATTCTGTTCATCACTGTATAACAATTTATTGATAGGATTTTAAAGTGTTGTGTATTTGCTTTGCTTTGTTCCTCTTCTAGACCATAACTTTGTCTATTTCATTCCCAGCATTCCAGTAGTACCCAGCCCAAAAGTCCATACTTTTTTATATTTTTATTTATAGGTGGACACAGTGTCTTTATTTTATATTTATGTGGTGCTGAGGATTGAACCCAGTGCCTCATGCATGCTAGGCGAGCATTCTACCTCTGAGCCACAATCCCAGCCTGAAAGTCCACACTTTTACAGGCATCCCAGGTTTGCTTGTGGATCACTCTGTATGAAATAGACATTATTCTAAGCATTATAGAGCCATCATACTTAAAAAGAACTTCCACAAGCCTCTAAACTGTGAGTATGGCTAATTCAAACCTAGAGTGACTGTCTAAGTCAAACACTACGGTTGAGTAACACAGGAAGGGATCAGCATCAGCATACCATTAAACACAGATAGTCAGAATTACTCTTTAAAACCCCTTAAAAGGCACCAGAGAGGAGACCACATTTCACCTCTCAGTTTTTTCTCCATTGTTCAAAAAGATTTATGTTACTTAAATTGAACCCTGAGAAAGTCCCTGGCTTGCATTTGGAGCCATGTAGTATGAAAAATGTACAGTGTAACAAGATGTGTGTGCTTTCAGAGTACAGACCAACCAAAGGAGTGGCACATGTAGCCAGCTGAAGGAACAGGAGATTGACATGGTCTAGTTATGGACATGTCACGTGGCCCCTTATGGACATGTGCTTATCGAGTGGTTGATGGGCAGAATTGCCTGTGCTATTTAAATCTTTTCTCCTTGTCATTTTTTGTTCTCTTGCTCTCTAAAAGAGGAAAGATTAAATAAACTAGTAACTGAGAAGAGGGTGCCATTTTCAGACCAACAGGATGCAAAGGAAGAAAACAATGAGTTAAGAAAGGTAGAAGTGTGTGGGGTGGGGGGAGGTATGACTAATACAAATGAATAGGAAGGAAGTGAGAAACCTACAAAGGTGAAAAATAAACTAGAGAATCCTTACAATTTGGATTGCATTTAGCCAAAACAATGGAGAAATCAGAAGAGGAAAAGATTCATAGTTAGACTAATAAAAAGGTAAAGTTGTTAAAGAGTTTGTCACTTTCTTTTACTTCCTTTTTAGCTTTACATGCTGCTGCCCTTTCTGGCCACGTCAGCACTGTGAAGTTATTATTGGAAAATGATGCTCAAGTAGATGCTACTGATGTCATGAAACATACTCCACTTTTCCGAGCCTGTGAGATGGGACACAAAGACGTGATTCAGACACTTATTAAAGGTTAGTTAATCAAGTAGTCTTATTCAGCCACTCACAAAGTTCTTGCATGCTTGGTTGGAAATAAAGCTTTACACAGCAAAGAGCCACCCAGGTAAAAAGGTGAAGGGAAGAACAGCCAAATTAGTAACAGGAAACTCCAGTTCTGCTCCCAGCTCCACCTGTTGACAGTTGTTTGGTTTTGGAAAAGTCACTTCACCTGCCTAGTCTTCAGTTTCCTTTGATGTAAAAGGGAGTGATTCCTACCCTGACCAATTTACAGGCTGGTTGTAAAACTCTGAAGTAGACTTACGCATGTGGAAGCATTTCAATGAGAGTAAAGTGTTGATGGGACTGTTGTTTTTTAACTTCTATTCTTTTTGATAAATGCTATCTCCATTACACATTTTCAATATATTTTTGCTTTCCCAGGTGGAGCAAGGGTAGATCTAGTTGACCAAGATGGACATTCTCTTCTACATTGGGCAGCACTGGGAGGAAATGCTGATGTTTGCCAGATTCTAATAGAAAATAAGATCAATCCGAATGTGCAAGATTATGCAGGACGAACCCCTTTGCAGTGTGCTGCATATGGGGGATATATCAACTGTATGGCTGTGCTCATGGAAAATAACGCAGACCCTAACATTCAAGACAAAGAGGTAGAACTACTTGGTCTTTTCTATATTGTTTGCTACAAAGTGTTTATAATGTTTCTTCTTTGTTGTAAACTTAAATAAAACAAATTACCAAAGAAGAGATCACCAACAAATCCATACAATTATGATTTTTATTTATCCATGTTCTCAACCAGTCCTTACCTATATCTAACATAGTCATTAAATAGACTGGGAGTCATTCTATAGCTTCTATAAAAGATATATATGTCATATGTATGTATATATATGTATATAAGTATATATTATATGACTATGACCCATATTTTGTTCACTTAAAATGATCATAGTGTTTTGTCATTTGATACATAATCTTTTTCATGATCATGAATTCTTAAGATTCCAAAGTTCTAAGAGCTTTAAATATAATAGATGGTTCTATCTTCACAACAACCCTATAAAGTACTTGCTATTATTACTCCCATTTTACAGGTAAGGAAATTGAAACTCATGTAGTTTTAATCATGACCCTAAAATGACAACCTTAGGGAATGGGTGAGTCAGGATTCAAGTTATGCCTTTAACCCAAATTTTATAATTAAATAAATAACCTCCTGTTGCTTGACACTTTTCCATTATCGTAGATGATATTGCAGGAATCATCTTTGTGCATTTAATTTTTCCTTTTGAGTTATTCTCCTAAAATAATTCCCCTTAAGTGAGAATATTGAATCAAACCAAAAAATAGTGTGCATATATATGCAAATTATGTACATATATGTAAATGTGTGTGTGTGTATTTTACGGAGGGGGGCTGGAGGCAGGGTACTGGGGATTGAACCCAGATGCACTTTAGCACTGAACTACATCCCCAGCCCTTTTTATTTTTTATTTTGAGGCAGGGTCTTGATAAGTTGCTGAGGCTGAACTTGAACTTGCAATCCGTGTGCCTCAGCCTCCCAAGTTGCTAGGATTACAGGTGTGCACCACTGCACCTGACAATAAATGATATATAAATGTGCTTCAGCCATAATACATAAGGCCAACCTAATATTTGAAAGGCATTGGTCAATCTATACTCCACCCAGCTGTGTAGTAATATATTAGTTTTTCTCATTTTAGCTGGTATTAACTTTTTTGGGGGAAAGGGTACTAATTTATTTTAACTCTTTAAAAATATTAGCATGAACTATGTTTTCCAAGTCAGAAAACAGATTCTCTACTAATTCATTAAGCAAGTTTTTAATCAAGATTGTTACTATTTATAAAATTATCATAATGAAAAACATGTAAAATATAGACCTTGTCTTTATATTCTTAGGAATGCATGTTTTATAATTTGTCATACCTTTTATATTTTACCAAGTTGCCTATTTCTCCTATAAGTAGCATACAAAGCTCCTTTCCAGTTCCATTAATTTCTATATGTAGTTTGGATTATCTACATAAATAATCTTGCTGCCTGTAAATAATATCATTTTTCTTTATTTCCAAACTTTTCATTTCTTTGTTTTATTTTGTTGAACTAGCTAGAATCTTCAATACAATGTTGAATACAATTGGTGACAGTTGGCATTCTTAACTCATAATTGCTTCTCAAAGATCAAGCTTTCAATATTTCACCATTGAATGAAATTATATTTCTAGTTGCTAAGAGTTTTTAAATACCATAGTTTTTGTCAAGTAAAATTTATGCATCTATCAACAAAAGTCATATTATTTTTCTCCTCTTTTTTGTGAATATGGTGAATTATACTGATTGCCTTTGTGAGATGTTAAACCACTCTTACCTTTCTAGGGTAAGCCCCACTTATAATGTATTATGCACTTTTATATATAAAGATGTATTATGTTTGTTAATATTTTAAGATTTTTGCATCTATATTCATGGAAAGTTTGGCCTATAATTTTCCTTTCTTATGTTGCGTTTGTAAGATTTTGGTAGCAAGTTAACAATGTCCTTATAAAAAGAGTCAAGAAATAACCCCTCTTTTATTCTCATAACAAATTATATAAGAGTGATATTACTTCTTCCTTAACTATTTGGAAAAATTTATTATTGAAGTCTTCTGGTTTGGGGGTTTCTTTGTACAAAGATTGTTAATTTAGTTCCATTAATAAGTTTTCTAATCAATTTTTCTAATCAGTTTAATTTTCTTTCAGTTTAGTAAGAGATAATTTATTAGAAATATGTCAAATGTATTTGCATAAAGATGGCTATATCTGCACTTACCATTTTTGTATCTGTAAGACCTGTAGTGACTTCCTCATCTTAATTTTATATATTGTAACATGTATTTTCTCTCTTTTTTAACTTTTCATGTGGCTTATTCTGATCTTCAAAGGACTTACTTCTGCCTTTGTTAACTTTATACATTTTGAAGTTGCTTACTATTTTGATAATTATTTACTCTCATCTTTATTATTTCTTGTCATCCACTTTCCTCAGGTTTGATGCACTATTCTTTTTTTCCCTTAGATTCTTTTTATAAAAGATTAAATCATCAGGCTGAGGTTGTGGCTCAGAGGTAGAGTACTCGCCTAGCATGCTTGAGGCACTGGGTTTGATTTTCAGCACCACATAAAGCAAAATAAAGACATGTGTCCACCTATAAATAAAAATAAATACTTTTTAAAAAAAGATTAAATCATCAATTTTTTCAAATATGTATATATATGATTCTCCTAAGCTCTGCTTTAGCTTTAACTTACAAGTTTGATTAAGTTGTGTACCTTCACTGTCATTTAGGTAAAATATTTTCTACTTTCTAATTTGATTTATTCTTTGAACTGTAGATTACTTAGAACTATATTGTTTAATTTCCAGGCACTTAGAAATTTTCTCTCTCTCTCTCTCTCTCTCTCTCTCTCTCTCTCTCTCTCTCAATTGATTGGATTAGTTTCCTGTGCTCTTGTGACAAATTAATCACAAACAAAAAAAAACATAAATTTATTATCTTACTGTTTGGGATATCAGGAGTCAAAATTAGTCTCACTAGTCTAAAACTTCAAGATTCAACAGGGCTATATTTCTTTTGGAGGCTCTAGGGGAGAATTCCTTTTCTTAATTTTCCCAGTTTCCAGAGGCTGTTTACTTACCATGGGTCATGACCCCATTCTACCATCTTCAGAGCCAACAATGGCTATTTGGGACTTTATTACCCTGTATCACTCTGACACTCTCCTGCCCCCTCTTTCCCTTAGAGGGATCCTCATGAATACATGAGGCCTACCCAGATAATCCAGGATAATCTCCTCACCTCAGAATCAGATAATTAGTAACCTTAATTCCCTGCTTTCCAAGTAACATAACAGGATTCCAGGGATTAGGATATGGACATTTTGCAGGAGAGCACATTATTCTTTATAGTCTTTCTTTATGGTCCAGTATATGACTGATTTTGATAAAATTCTGTGTACTCTTGAAAAGAATGCTAATTCTGTCATTTTTAAATGCAGGGTCACTTAGAACAGATCTTTAAATTGTGTTATTTGTGTCTTCTATGTCTTTAGTGCTCTTTTGTCTTTTTTTCCTATCAACTGTTATTTTAAAAACACTAAAATCTCCCACTGTGATAATAGATTTGACTATGTCCCCTTTAATTTTGTGAGATTTTTTTTCCCTAGATATTTAGAAACTCTGTTATTGGATGTAAAAATTTAGGGTTGGGACATTTTTCTCTTTACATCCATTAACACTGTGAAATATCCTGCAATGCTTCATGGCTTTATCTTTTATGACATTGAAGTTTTTTAAGTATACAGGCCACCAGGTCAGTTATAATGGTGCATGCATCTGTTCCCAGCTACTCCAAAGGCTGAAGCAAAAGGATCACAATTTCAAGGCAAGCCTCAGCAACTTAGCAAGATCCTGTCTCAAAATTAAAAAAATAAAAAGGACTGGGAATATAACTCAAAAGTGCTGCAGGGTTGTAAGCCCCAGTACTAGGGTGGGGAGAGGTGGATACAGGATGTTTATTTTGTTGAATTTGACTAAGTTTGGGTTTGTCTTATGGTTCTTCATAATTAGATTCCGGTTTTACATTTTTGGTTGGAATATTATATAAGGGATATTGAATCCTTCTCAGATCTCACCTCCAGTGGTATATGGTACCCTTTCACATAGTGTTAGTTATGATCCCTTGGTTAAGAGCTGTCTGTTTTCTCCACTGTGTACATAATAGTGTCCTTTTTTATAATTGAAAAGTTTAAGGGGAGGATTATTTATATTTTTAATTAGCATAAATAGTCACATGTCCAAAAATATTTACTCCAGGTACACTTGATTTTGTTCATGCTTATAGGGAAGAACAGCTTTGCACTGGTCCTGTAACAATGGATACCTTGATGCCATTAAATTATTACTAGACTTTGCTGCTTTCCCTAATCAGATGGAAAACAATGAAGAGAGGTAAGCTGTGGATAAGAAAAAAAAAGAGAGTATGCTCTTGCTCATCCCACATCCTTTCTGCCAGATTAAAAAAAAAAATCTCAAGTTTAGATATCTCAAGTTCAAAACTAAGTAGAATCATAAGGAAACACTACACTAAGAAATACTGAACCAGAAAAAGGAGTAAAAGTTCCATGCAATATTTATTTAGAATCACAGAGTATCACAGGTATTCAGGACTTTAGATATGATATTACCTAAGACAGGTTCACATTTTGCAAATGAGGAGACTTAGAGCTCCTTCTGGCTGGTGGCTAGCATGAGGTCAGTGAAATCCTGACTGACCAAGACCAAGAATTCAGTGAGGCTAGTGGAATATGTTACATATTCAAGATGTTTCTCTTGATGGAGACACATTATCAGTTAGTAGACAAAAAGGTGCCATCACTAGCATGAAAACATGAAGAGCTGGGTGTGGTGGTATACACTCGTAATCCCAGAAGCTCAGGAGGCTGGGGAAGGAGAATCATAAGTTCAAAGTCAAAGCCAGCTCAAAAAAAAAGAGTTCAAAGCCAGCCTCAGAACTTAGCGAGGTCCTAAGCAACTTGAAGAGACCCTGTCTCAAAAAAAGAAAAAAAAAAAAAAAAAACATGGAGAAACTCAAATGAAAGGTCAGCATCTATTCTAGATACAACTTTCTTTAATAACATAAGGTTCTCAGAGTTATGCTGTGATTGTTATCCAGGGACCCGAACCCATAAAAAGAACAAGACACAATATGAAGTCTAAGCAAGAGAGACTCTTGGTGGTCTCAGGGGAATTCTGGTAATTTGCAGGTAACCACTCAATTTGTGATCAGACCTCCATAGCAGAGGCCCCCTTTGGCCCAAGTCAACACATTAGTTGTCACTGTTCATGGCTGCTCTAACTAGAATGGCCCCATCTGTTAGCCACCACCAGTTCTTGCTTGCTGTTAGCAGGTGGAAAACCTTCTAGAAAAGGAAGGGCTTCTTTAAATCAACTATCTCAGCGGAGGCACATTTCTCCTTTCTTGAATCAACCCCTTTGCACTTATTTCAGAGCCTTTCCTCAGAGAACTTCCCATTGAAGTTCTAAAACAAACAAAGGAAAAATGAAGAATCTAAGAGTTAGTGTCGATTTGTGTCTATGAAGAACTTATTCTTACAATATACACTGTCTAGATGCTATTTTTAAAAGAAATAATGGAAAATACATGTTTTTTAAAATTCATTTCCTATTTATATACTAAAGTTTGAATTTCAAACCTAAGTCACTGCATGAGTTAAAGTGCTTACTGCCCCTTGGAATAAACATACATTAATTGCAGACTAGAAAACCAAAGGAAAAATCCTCCTAACTATACTTGCCAATCTGTAAATAAAAAGAGACAGTGGCCATATCCCAGTCTCGTTTAATGTTTCATTAGTAATGCACCTTGATGTACAAGTGTCAGAAGTTGGCACTGCCTTTTATATTTATTGACATTCTGGTTTAGGCATTCCACTGATCCCATCAGACCATTCCCGTATGGCATGTCCAATTGTGTCTTATCTCTTGTCTTTATCTACATTGTTTCTTGGCTGGTTACCATCAATGTGGTACTAATTTTTACTTCTCATGCATTGACACTAACCAGTTGATGTACATTGTATAGACATAATTTTTACCAACTTCTGCTGGCTTTCAGTCAATAAGTACCTGACAGTCACAATATAACATTGATGGGAATATTCACAGTACTTGAATGGTTCTAAATTGAACTAGAGATGAAGATGAAAATGATAGGAGTTCCAAGATTTGCTTCGAAACACTTCAACAAAATAAAAAAGAAGAGGTTGGAAGAAGCAAACATAACAAAAAGTCATTCTGATTGTTAATTTGCGGTATTGAGTACACAGAGGATTATTATGCTATTCTATTTTTTGTGCTTGAGATTTCTCATAATAAAATTATTTTTTTCATAATAAAAATATTTAATATGTAGTTTTCAATCCAGAAGCAGCCCAAGAAACCTAGTTCTTTTCTCCTCCTTTCCTCCCCTTTTATAAATGAAGAAATAGAAGCTCAGAGAAGTTAGGAGAATTCCCAGGGTCACAAAAGTCCCCTGAGTTCCACTCCAACATTCTTTAGGGGGATTATGCTGCACATTATTTTTTTTTGTCATGTTCCTAAGTAAAGACATGGTTTGAGCCTTATGTTTCTTAACCAGAGCTTGGTAATCCTGCTTATATTCCACATGAAGAACACTACATATTAATAATTACAGAAAATTCTCAAGCTTATTAAATACATATGTTGTTTACACATTGATTTTAGGAAGAGTTTTGTTCTTTGGGAGACATTCAATAATTGATAGAGGTGTTATGGAAGGATTACTGAACTGGGAATTGTTCAGTAATCTTAATTCTAGTCTGCATTCTGTAGAAGGTGATTACATAATCCTCAGCAAGTTGATTAACCGTGCTAGGTCTATTTACTCATTTTTAAAATGAAAGTGTTGAACTTAATGACCTCTTAAAGTGAATTTAGTTTTACTATCATGTGGTTCAATTACTCTATGCTAATTTTTTCCATGAAAAGAATTTTAGAATATATAATAAAAATTTTAAGAATTCTTCTGAATTTACAAAATGCCATCTATTTATAAATAATGTTTGAAAGTTTATGTAGGCACCTCAACCTATGGCCTTCTGGTCCCTGAACAGGAGTAGCATATTGAGCCTTCCTAAAATGAGAGCTCCTTAATTTTAGCATTCGGGGTTTCAGTAAGAAATTCTGAACTTACAAATTTCCTTGCTGAAGCGATCAAACCACCCTTATTCTGAAAACCTATTCCTTTTATGTCTTACTGTGACTGTGAGGTAAGTTTTTAAGAGAGCTTTTTTTTTCCTGTAATCATTGAATAATTCTCCAAGTCAAACCATGCATCCCTATAATCATCATTTTTTTCCACATCACAAAACAGCTGATGATTTCCTCCTAACACTTGTGATTGCAGTCTACAGTCATAGTCATCCAGAGAGCACTTGGCATCAGTGGCAGTCATTATAGAAGTTTGGATGCTGTGGAAGTGATATTTATGATGAGCATCTATAGTATCACAAACCATACTGCAGTGTAGGGCCTGCGATCCTAACAGTAGTAGCTAATATTTATTATTCCCAGACCTTCTTCCTTTATGTCAGGCACAGTGCAATCCTCTTTATGTTCATGGTTTCACTTTCTCCATATTAACTTGTTTAATATATGAAAAAAAGCTGGGGCTTAGAAACATCAAGTAAGTTGTTTAAGAAATGACATTCATCACTACCATCATTGAGAGATTATTCTTTTACTTCAATCTTTGTACTTTTATTCACTGTTTGAATTTTTAACATACATATCATTTATATAAAGTAATCATTTTCTTTAAAACAGGAAGGCTTAATGTTTTTTGCCCTGAAAACTTTTGTTATTTGTTTAAATATTTTTTTAGTTGGAGATGGACACATTACCTTTTATTTATTTATTTATTTGTATATGGTGCTGAGGATTGAACCCAGTGCCTCATACTTGCAAGGCAAGTGCTCTGTCATTGAGCCACAGTCTTAGCCCTAAAATTTTGTTCATTTTATGTAATCAGATTTAACACTCTTTTATATTTCTGATTTTTCTTATTTTTTTTTAAGAAAGGATTTCCCACATTAGTATTTTTTTGTTTTGTATTAAAGTGCTGAAGATTGAACCCAGAGCCTCTGGCATGCTTACATAAGCACTCTACCACTGATCTACACTCCAGACCCCACTTGAGTATTTTTTAAATTTCCATGGTACCTTCTGGTACCTTTGTTTTATTTTGTTTGTTTGTTTTGATTTTGGGATCTTTGCTCCATCCCTAATTTATTTTGGTATAAGACGTGATATTAGAATCTCTTTTTTCCCAGATCACTACCTGGTTGTAGCAACACTATTTATATAATACTTTAATTTTTTCCACAATGATTTAAAGGGCCATCTTTATCATATACTAAATCTCTCTATTTGGAGGTATATTTTTCATTTCATGAGCATTAAGTATCAGTAACCATGGGCTCAAATTTATGAATCTCACAGAATATAATTTGCAGCATTTTACCAGATAGGAATGGGAGTTATTATTTGGTACATGAGAAAGAAGGAACATGATGTGTTCTCAATAGTCACCAGTTTGTGAACCAATGAGTCAAACTCAGGAATTGGCATGGTCAGTAGCACAAAGGATCTTACCCACAGCCATATTCAACCTTGTTTTATATCCCTCAGAAGAAAAAGGAATAGCCTTGGAGTAGAGATGGTGACTTTGCCCAGAGAATATTCTGCATCTTAGAATGATTCATTTTGCTGCATGAGAATATTGTCTGTTTACCAGTACCTTGAATTCATTTTGTTAACAAACAAACAAACAAACAAAAAAAAAAACAACTCTTCCTCCTGCATCAGGTACACACCTCTTGATTATGCTTTGCTTGGTGAGCGCCATGAAGTAATCCAGTTCCTTTTGGAGCATGGGGCCCTGTCCATTGCAGCCATACAAGATATTGCCGCCTTCAAAATCCAAGCTGTCTACAAAGGATACAAGGTCAGAAAAGCTTTTCGAGACCGGAAGAATCTCCTTATGAAGCATGAGCAGCTGAGAAAAGATGCTGCAGCTAAGTAAGTGTGAGCATGGAGATTTTGTTCTCACAGCTCAGAATCAGGGTGGAAGGAGGTGGGCACTGTATCAGGAGAGTAAGTCAGGAGAGAATTTGATTTTCTTGTGGTCTCTGTCCCCATGTCATCTTCCCTCTCTGTTCACGACTCTCTCTTCACCAGACTAAGACTGCAGTGAAATATAAGGGCCTAACCTCCACTTGATGGCTATTCCATATAGATTTGTTCCTGGTGTTCTAACCCAGGAACAAACCATTGTCACCAGCACCCATGGCAGGGAGTTAGGGGTGGGATTGCTACCTAGTATAAACTACAAATAAATAAGCTGTCTTCTTGGCCTTCCTGCCTTTATGAAAGAAACTTACACCAGTATCTGACCTGCTTTTACTAAACTAAACTAAGTCTTGTTTTGATTAATACAACTACCTTGTAAAATAACTGACTCTCCTCACCCATTCTTTAACGAATCTGTACTAAACACAGTTGTTATTCTATATTTATGGGGGATTGATTTCAGGACTCCCTGTTGATTCCAAAATTTACGGATGCTCAAAACTTTTATATAAAATGGCCTCACATTTGCATTTGACCTATACACATCCTCCTCATACTTTAAATCATCTTCAGATTACTTTTAATATCTAATACAATGTAAATAAATAGTTGTTATACTATATTATTTAAGGAATAATGACAAGACAAAAAATAAAGAAGGAATAATGACAAGAAAAATATATGCTCACCACAGATGCAATTTTTTTCTAGATGTTTTTGATCTGTGGTTTGTTGAATGCACAAATGCAGAACTTGTGAATATGGAGAGCCAGTTGTAAACTGCTTTACTCAAGAAATATTGATGAACTTCTTACTATACATACACCACCCTTGGCTAGATCCTAGGGAGAAATGGTAACTAAAAACAAAGACCTTACTTCAAGGACTTAACATTTTTTGGAAAATGATACAAATGTATGAAATAGCCATTTGTGCCTATTACACATTGTGATCATATCACATAAATGACTGTAGATTCTGCTTGGGTTTGCCTTTTCTTTTGATATTTAGGTTAGGTAGGAATATTTTAAATATCATCAGCATATTGCATTAGCAAACACAGATACCAAAGCCTCTTAAAATGAAGATGACCAGCAGTGTCTTTCTTTCTTTTCTTTTCTTTTTTTTTTTTTTTTTTGTACTTGGGATTGAACCCAAGAGTGATCTCCCTCCAAGCTACATCTCCAGCCCCCAGCACCTCCCCACCCCATTTTTAAATTTTCAAAACAGGATCTTACTAAGTTGCTCTGATAGACCTTGAATTTGCAATCCTCTCTAAGCCTCCTGAGTATCTGGATTTCAGGTGTGCACCACTGCACCTGGCTCGAAAGGCAGTTTCTTGGAAGCTAACTTCTGATTGTATCTTGAATGTTTCCAAATCTCCTGTCCTTCAACTCATGAATTCTTCCATATGTCACCCAAAGGAGGAAGTATAATGAACAACCATTAAAAATATTAATAAATAGCCATTAAAAATAATAAGACTAAATCATTTTAGTGAGAGGTTAAATAATGCTGGAATACTAACTATAATGTCAGGTTAGTAGAAAAAATTGATGAAAAGACATAATTTTCTGTGACTTTGATGTTACAGAAGTGGATGGTAAACTAAGAAATCATATCTTGTACTCTTCATTAGGCTCTCGTCTCTTCACCTACCTGGGAATCCAATATTAAAATCTCCATACAGTCGTCTTTTTCTTAGCCTTCTTATAAAAGTTCTCTGTACATAAGTGACAACCACAAGTAGGTAACACATGTGACCAGTTGTCTTGAATTGCAAGCATACACTATCTACAAGGGATGGAATATTTTACAGTGGTCCTCTTTATTCATGAGCAGTGCATTCCAACATCCCTAGTAGATGCCTAAAACCTTGGGTAGCACCAAACCCTGGTAGGCAGTTCCCAAATTACAATATTTGGACTCACAATTTTTTTACCTTAAGATGATAATGCAAAAGAAATAATGCATTCAATAGAAACTATACTTCAAATTTTGAACTTTGATCTTTTCCCAGACTGGTGGTGTACATTATGATATTCTCTCATAATGCAGGGCAGCAGCAGTGAGCCCTAGCTCCCAGTCAGCCCCTCAATTCCATGATGGCTGAGCTATGATGATCCAGAGTAGGCTAGGAGTATTCAATACATTTTCAACTTACCATATTTTAAACTTACCATGGGGTTTTCTAGAGTGTAACTCCATCATAATCAAGGAACATCTGTGTACACTATGTTTTTTCATTTTATATATATATATCTATATATATACCCATGTTAAAGTTTAATTTATAAATTGGCTTAGTAAAAGATTAAAATCAATAATGATAAAATAAAACAATTACAACAACATGCCATAATGAAAATTAGGTGAATGTTATCTCTTTCTTGCTCAAAATATTTTAATGTACTTCATCTTTCTCATTAAAGTCTCTCTCTAGCTTCTCTTTGGCAACTCACATTGCCAGCATTACTACCCTTGCACTTTGAGATCATTATTAATAATGATTGCTTTGATAATAGCACTGTGATACTGCAACGTTAATCTGGTAACTAAGATGTCCATTAAGTAACTGATGGGCATATATAGTGGGATTATGTTGGACAAAGGGATAATTTATGTCCTGATCAGGATAGGATAGTAGGAGATTTCATCATGATATATACAAACTTATTGTTTGTTTCCAGAATTTTCGATTTAATATTTTGGCTCAGGGCTCACAGTGGGTAACTAAAACTGTGGAAAGCAAAATTGCAGATAAGGTGAATATAATACTATATTGACTCCTACAGATAGATGTTTCCATAAACTCCAGCTTAATGTATGAGAATCTGTTTTCAGAATTCAGCTATACTTACCTAAGTGTGAAGTGGGACTCTACTAAAGCAGAGTGGCTGAATTTCTATGTCCCTGAAGGAATGTGTATTAAAACAAACACATTCCACTTCATTGTTGGGAAGAGGATGTCCTGGTGTTCTGCTTTCTCCCAAACAGAGAGGGAAGACACCTGTATTCAAATCCAGCCTCTGATATTTACTTGTGTTGATTCAAACACAGCATTTCTCTGTGGGCCTCTATCTCTTCATTTGTGAAACATGACATGTTAGACCAGTTGGTTTCTAGGCGCTCTCCAGTTCTGTAGAAACTCCCAGGTCTGCATCATTAGTGATTTGCAGCCTCTTCTTTCTTTCCTTGGCCCGTAGAGGTCATGTGCCTGGAACTGAGCGCAGATGGGCATTTTCTTGAGTCAGTTTAGAAGTGGAAACCAAGAACCAGCCTGTGAAAGGGTCTCCTGTACAGAGGAGAAGATTTAAAATATTGGCCTGCTTAAATTGCATAGTAGTTTTAGTTGTTGTTTTTTTTTTTTTTCCTAACATGAATTTGTTGGACCCCCTGACTTCCTATCTAGGGTGTTTGAAACAACGAGGAGATTTAAGAAACTAGTCCAAACTTCCTTTTAGTTATTATTCCAGTTAATTATTGGATGATTTTTTTTGGCTGTTTTTGTTTGTTTTGTTTTGTTTTTCCATGCTAGGAATTGAATTCAGGGATTATTTTAGTCAGCTGTCATGTTACTGTGACCAAAAGAACAATTTTAGAGGAGGAAAAGCTTATTTGGGGACTCACAGTTTCAGAGGTAGAGTGAAGGGTTATGAGAACCTTAACCCAATCAGTGAATTAATCCCCTGATAGGAATTAGCTGAGTGGCAACTGAAGGTGAGTAGGGTGTGGCTGGAGGAGTAGGTCATTAGGGGTGTGCTTTTGGGGTGGGTTATGTATTTTGTCCCTTGAATGGAGTCTCTTTCTGCTTCCTGGTGCCATGTCTTGAGCTGCTTTCCTCCACGTCTCTCTTCTGCCATGATGTTCTGCCTCGCCTCAGGAATGGAGTTGGCCATCTATAGACAGATCTCTAAAACTATAAGTCCCTAAGTAAAATTTTCCTTCTAAAATTGTTCTTGTCAGGTCTTCTCCTCACAGCAGCAAAAAAAAACTAACTAAAAAGGGCCTCGCATATGTTAGACAAGTGCTCAACTACTGAACTATGTCCCCAAACCTAACATTGCTTTTTAAAAGCCCTTTTTAAATGGGAGCTGTGCTTACTTGTTATAATATTTTTAAATTGACAAAATGAAAAAACTGCCATCTTTTGTACACACTCGTTCCTAATTACAGTTTTTCCTTTGTTGGGTATTGTTATTAGAGATAAACAAGTTTCTTAAGAGTTCAGCCATCACTCCCACAGTCATCGTAGTATAGATCCCTAAATGAAATATTTCAATAGAAGAGACTCAATGATTTAACTTGTTTTAATTTTATTTTTCAAGAATTATTCCTTAAAATCTGAGTCAATGTTTAGTTTTGTTTTCGATTTTGCTTTAAGAAACAAAAATCAGAATGTTGCAGCTGCAGCATCGACTAAGGTGGGCCAGACACATCATGTTACCTCGATGTACCTTTCCCATTTAATCATGCTAGGATTGCAGAAATCACCCTCCTTCAAGTGAAGATGTGAAAGGAACTTATTAAACTTGAAGTAAAGTGGTCCCTAATTTATGATAGAAAAATTGGAAGAGAGAAAAGTCATAGTCATATTTACTAAGGCAGGTATTTTAGAAACTCCTATTTAAGAAATATCTATAATCCATTTAAAAGCACTTTATAACTCACAGTGCACTACCTAGGTTGTTGCCAAAATGAACATTACTGTAATTTACCTGCCAAAGTGCAGAGTGGAGTGCACTCTTAAGTAGACCATGTTTATGTTGATCATCCTTCTTCCTTGAAGCTTCATTTTTGCCAGGTTCTTATTTCTCTCTCTAATCTCAGATCTCCTCTCTCTGACTCCTCTCACATCTTTTAAGTATGCCATCACCATACTGAGGTCAGACCTGGAGGTTACTCTTTAGACCTCTGCTCATGCTATACTGTTTTCCATTGAAAATGTA